TGATGGGTTTCTCAGGCACAAATCTCTTGTGAATCCTTACTTGGGAACACCCTGACCCCAAGTAAGGTGTAAGCTACCAACTTTCTAAAAAGCAGGGCTCCCTGACAAAACTACTTAATAGAACCACGAATAGCATTTTAGTTATGTGTGCAATTGTCTGCAATGGCTATTTAGAATGTGTGCTGGAAGATGGGTCTGTTTATAAGCATAGCTGGCAGAATATCAGAGCCCTAATGACTATTTAATAAGTGCTTCATTAAATGCAGGCGTGGTAGAAAGGTTAAACCACTTAAAGACGCTGAAAAGTGATTCCAGACCTTTGCATCGGTGCACTCCACTGAGTTGATGGTCCAGGATTGCCACATAAAATTGGACCGAAACCACACATGGCTAACCCAATGGAAGCTGGGTGACGGCCGACGATTACCCGTCACTATTTTTGTCAAACTGTGGGGTTTGGCCAAGGAGTAAGGTGATCATCTTTCTCTGCAAACATCAGTTAGACTGGAAGCGACGCCACACTTAAGGTAGAAGTGCAACAAGTTGCAACTTCTGTCTGCTATCAGGCAAAGTGAGCATAACAAGATCGAGTGTTACGCTTTTTACCCAGTGCAATCATGCATAAAAATATTGCGCACATTTCTCCGTTCGCTTAAGTAAACCCAGCATCAACAGCTCTCATTTTACACTACTTTGCGACCCAGCCTTGCAAAAGATCGCACGTTGCACGTTAGTTGAACTCCCCACTCTTGTACAGCACAGCATGTAATGATTAACTATAAGAGCGGCGGCACCTTCTTATACATCCTCCAATCTTGCTACCATAAAGTGAACACCCAAGGCGTCTTCTGATGCTGGTATTTGTGGTGACGCACAGCAGATAGCAGACAGGCTTCTTTCAATCTAGGCTGATAAGACTTAGAAAAAGTCTGCGCAACAATCATGCATGACTTACAAACGGCGCTATATCCCAAATCAAGTGGTTGATCTAAAATGATTGAAAAATGACGCAAATAGATCCTCGCAATAAATGCGACATAGGTCAGAATCAAGTCATGACCGACGTAATTTGTAAGAATAGTAATTACATGAAAGAAACGCTGCTGATAAAATTAAGACTGTAAATTAGTCAGATGTCAATAAATGGCACGGTGACTTTTTCTCTCTCCAAAGCCTCCCCTTCTTCTTCTCACCATTGTCAATTCTAATAAAGTGACAAGACAAATCTCATTTTTCTGTCAAACAGAGTGAGTCATACAGTTTCAGGCACAAGCTTTGTGATTCTGCTCAGATGAGGAGAGCAGGACGCAGGAGGATTAGCAGTGTGGCAGGCTGCCATCTAATGGATGCAGAGAGAACGGTCTCCCTCGGGTGGCTGTGCCTCCAGTCGTACAGCCCCCTAACTTTAGGGTCCGTGATTCAGGAGTCCTTAGGCAAGACGCTGAACTCCAAGCTGCTCTGGATGACTCCAGGTGGCACGGATCATTCTGCATTTTCTTCCTTGTTTATCTTTGTTTCTCAAACTGATGACACTGCAGGATTTCAAAAGTTTCCCATGGCAAAAAAACGGGTCTGACCGAACAAGAAGAAAACTGCAGAATTATGTAACCCGTTTGTGTGAATGAAAGCTCTGGGACAGAGAAAAACTCTCTCACATGTCACACTGGGGAGACCTTATCACTCCTGTTAATGGGTTGATGGAGGGAGGCTGAGAGAATCACTGCTGACCCACCAAAAACTCACCCCATCTCAAACATTCTCACAGAAATGGGGAAAAATGGAAGCGCACACGCCTTTATTATTAAAAATCGGTTTTGTAAAGGTAGAGCATTTGTTTTAGGGAGTTTAAAAGGGAAACATAAAACATACTCCAGTAGAGTTAAACCCGGGAAACATGAGTTTCTCTAAAAACTCAGATATTTAGAAAAGTAATTTCTGATCTGTCATTCCTAATCGGTAACAGCTGTATGTATCTGTATGAGCATTTTCTATAACAATAACCCCAGTCTGTTTCAGGAATGTAATTATATTAGTACTTACAGGAAGGCAAATGCTGCAAAGTGGTAAACAAAGTACAAGCAATACAGCAGAGAAATAACAAATCACCCACATTTGCAAGATCCAATTAGAAGCTTAAGGCAAAGACAAGTGTGCATGCTGAGACATGAAGATGTCGAGACCGCTTTCCTTGTAACTCGTGGCTTGGAAACTATGCGTTTGTTTGTGAGAAAACAAGTCAGAAAGAAAAGGGAGATAACGACAAGGGGATGATCAGGCGAGATAGTATTTCAGCTGTTGCTGTCAGTTTTTTGGGTGAAAGCAAGAGAGACAGAAAGAAGGAAAGGAAGATCTGTGTGAAAATGAGGAAGACGCTCTGAGTGTCTGTGCGGGGGTCACACAGAGAGAGTGAAGGAAGCAGATATGGAGGAAGGAAGGAGATAGAAGTAGAAGGAGGGAACATTCCTTGTGGCTTTGCTGGGGAAGATGAATTATTCAGAAAGTTTAACGCACACAGTTGAAACTACCCCTCGAACTGCTTAATAAATCCTGCCGTTCAAAGTATTATTGACATGTAATAGAGCAGAACTATACCACTACAACAGAATCTTGTCATGATTACAAGGAAGAACATCCATGGAAACATTTATGGAGTAGACGGTTTTTTATGTTTGATTTTGTTTGTTTGCTTTTTTTTACACAATGACTATTATTAGAAGTAGGTGAGTGTGTTATATATGATCAGATGTGACGTTACTTTCTTTATGATCGCTCTGAAATCAATGCGGAGTATCTGGGCAGGGTTCTGATCGCCACCGCAAGAGTGTGAAAAGGAAACTGGTGCTCTTCTAAATGTCCTCTCTCATGAGAAAACTGTCAGCGCTGAAGTCTTTAACGTCGGGTTACTCCGTTAAAAAGCTGTTTAGGAGTTACCCATCTGAGCGCATCTGAGGTGCAGGTTACAGTTAGTCTGGAAGTTAAAGTCTTATTTCACACTCACCGCAGCGACCCGCCGTCTTGTCTCGTCTGCCTTTACAGTGAAGTACTGCTCGAACTTGCTCAGGTAACACTACTGCATTTATCCATTTTTATTGCTGCAAATTAGTCACTTACTATTAGACTTCAAACTCTACTGCATGCAGAGGTCCGTGCCCTTCCGTCACTGCGACGTCAGCCAGCGGATCACATGGCAGGAAGCGAAGCCGCGAGACGTAAACAAGCTCACTACGCCGGCCACGAGGTCTGTGGCAGGCCAGCTTCACGCCCGGTGCAGCTGAGTGCACCTGGCTGCTGAAGCGCCTTTGTACCTTTTTACTATTCGATTGATCTGGCACGTACACCTGATTCCGTTTGTTTTGTTTATCTGTCATTTATTTAGGTCACTTAAACTTATCGGCGGTGATATGGTTCTGTTTTTTCCTCCACGTTTTTGGTTAAAATTACGTTTTATGGACTGTCAGTCTGCGCTCACCTTGCTAGTACTGGATAAGACTATCTTTTGCATTAACACGTGTTCATAATTCACTTAATACGTGGCATAGATTTATTTAGATTTATGAATATTTAATAATGTGATGGAGTCATTCCTGTGAAATTTTTGGTCCGTATTGACACGAGAGCGTCACACACGGTTGCTGCAGAGCTGTCGGCTGCACGATCGAACCCTGTAGATGACTGCGTGGGAAAATCCCTGCAGATCAGCAGTTTCTGAAATACTGGGACCAGCCCATCTGACACCACCAACCATGTTCAAAGTCACTTAAATCACTTCTTTTTTTTTTTCTTTCTTTTTTTTTTTTTACCTCATTCTTATGCTTAGTTTGAACTTCTGCAGGTTGTCATGAGCATGTACACATGCTTAAATGTTGCTGCCATGTGATTGGCTAAATAGATATTTGTGGGGTACCTTACAAAGTGGCCAGTGAGTGTATGCTACAGACCATCAGCCATCGTTGTGAATTTGTCTATGTTTGAGTATTGAAAAAAAGTGGAAGATTTTACAAGAAAAAGAACAAAGTTTTAAATACTTGTTTGCGTTAAGACTACTAAGTTTGTTTTGCGTTCCTTTTGAGTAATGATTGTGCCCGTTCTCAGAATATTAGAGGAAATTTATTTTCACAAAGTAACTTCATCAGCAGATTTGGATCATTATAACAAAAGATCAAAGTTTAAGAGATGCTCAAATAGTTCTTTCCCTGATATGCCATCTGACCTGATTGCAGTGCTTCTTTCCCTGTACTTATCTCAGCATTAACAATAAAACAAGAGCAGTGCAGTGGTATCTGAGGAATTTTACGAGATCGATCTTTTAGCCAGTCCTAATTTGCCCTGTTTGTTTCCTTGCACGAGTTGCACACATAGTCTTTTTTCACTGAGTGTGTCTTTCTCTCTGGAATTTAAACCTCTCTTTTACTTTCCACTGTCAGCTTGTGCAACTCTTTAGATCCAAAAAAGTTCAGTTACACTCATAAAAGGTCTTGTGCTTTAACCAAACAAGGCTTTCATGTTAATGCCTCACATCTGAGATTCCCACAGCTTTGTGTCTCTCTTAAAGGGTTAAAGGGTTTCCTCACAAAATATGAATCATTTACAGTTCTAATACAAACAAAACCGCTTGAGTGGTCACACTTTCATGTAGCCCATTTATATTTTCATTGGCAGGATGTCTTGGTAATGAGGTCCCAGTCACATTCTTATCCAGACGCTCATTTGGTTTAGCCTCAATCGCCAGTCCTCTTAAATAGTCATGGCCTTTTTGGGTAATCCTCACCTTCGAGCCCTGGGGATGTTTCTCTTTATCTTTGGAGTGTGAGTCATGTGTCTGAGGAGCTCTGGCATGTTGGTACATAGCTGAAGACGTAGGTTAAAGGAAGTTGCTGGTGGGGTTTTCCAGATAACTGGCTGGGTAAAAGGTTTACGTAATCTTAACCTGAGGTAGCAACAAGGGACACATTACAGGAAAGTGAAAAACACCACATCAATGTTTTTATTTTCATTAAAACATCACAATTATGTAGTTGGTACACAGCATGTCATCGTCCCGATTTACAAAACACTGACTTATTAAATCATTTTGTTGAAATGGCAGGAAAGCATTCAAGTCACTGCAAAATTGAGTGTAGGATAGCAGATTTGCCACACAGACTCAGTGTGACAGCATTTCATGAAAAAAGTTACTTTGAGCCACAATTAAAATGTCTAGAAATATGACTTTTATCATTTTTGTGCAGGCTAGCTCAGGGATATTAATTATTAAGGCATTTAAAGCAGAAAGGATCCAATTCTATATTTGAATCTGTTTATAAGCATAAGCAAATCTGTTTACATTCATCAAGATTAGCAAGACAAAGTAGAATTGCACGTGTTTTTGTTGGAAATGAGTCCCGAGATTTTCCTGAACCTGGAAACATTTCTGATGTGACTAATGTGAATGGCCTGATATTAATTTTAGAGTGAACATAGAAATAATTAGCGGTACCTGTTTTAGTGCATACAAATACACAAGTATTTTTTCTATCAGTAATAAGAACATGAGCCTATTGTTTAGTGTTTTTAGCCATAAAGATTCTGTCAGTGGCCCCACAGTTTTTCTGATATTTCCAGTGCATAACACATTTATTAGACTACCTGCTATTAGAAAAACAAAAGAAAAATATTTTTGAACTGTGCCAAAAAGCTCATTTAAAACAAGTTTAAAACACTGAGGATGTCTGTAGGAAGTCAGAAATTAATCAAGCATGACGTTCAAGCAGTAATTGTTCTGTTCAAGAATGCAAGTAAGTAGGTTTTAATCAAAGTTAATTTAATCATAAACTAATGATGCCTTTACTCTTTTTATTCTATTTTTATAACAACAATATTTATATTTTAGCATTAAAAATATGATCTTAATTTAAGAGCACACTGGTGGTTTAACTATTACAGAATCATTAAAAAATGATTTTGGTAAGTACCAGAATTGTTAATTTATAACAGCTATGGCATAAACCTTACACTGGCCGGTGGTCTAAAACATGTGCTCAGCACTGTGACTTTTTGCGTCTGAGCTTTGCTTGCACAGAAGACCTCAGACCCCACAATTCATACATCATATATGCCACTCCAGATAAGATCACATTTGTACACTTGTACATTCCAGTTATGACTTTGTTAAAGCGTTATGTAAAATCGAAATCTGCACTCTTATTAAATCACCAGTGTAAATCTGAGTTGTAGTGCTTACAAGATTATACATGTCACCAGTTTAGCAAGCGTTATGTATGAAGGTTTACCTTTCAGGCTGATTTTCAGATTTTACTATGGAGGAAGCGACAGTTGTAGTTAGCTGATTACACTTAATTAAAACCAAAATGAATGAGGCCAAAATATTTCACTGGCATTGAATAAAGTGCTACGTAAAGCCGAGCCTGATGATGTCAGAGTCGTTCGGCAGGTTGGACCCGTCCCGTGCCTTCGGCGTCCACAAGCGCATTCTGTCATTTCGAGTAGTGGGCGAACGGAGACTCCTCATTCACTTTGCCCTGAGAGTTCACAGAAAACAAACAACCCATTCACAGTTAACCAGCAGTCAGCGTGGTGATAAAGTGCCTGCACTGAATGTCCAGTACCTGCTTTACCATCTGAACTAAAGTGGTTCTTTTACAGTACAATGTGTTCTGTTGTTTTTCTTTTATCCGATTACAGTGATAGGCATTCTTTTCCCCGTTCAGATTAACAATAGGTGAAGTCTTTGCGGTCCCGCTTTAGGCATATTAATGTAATTAACGTTAAGGACTGACAATCAGCTGACGGAGACAAGCCTCTGAAAAAACCGTCTTTTTACCCGTTTTAAATGTTAAATTAGTGAATGTGAGAAGGGATTACCATGTGAAGATGAGGTTGAGAAACTCCTGGGAAGGGAAGCTTAAATGTTTCATACTTATCTTATTCTCTTTTCTCATAATGTCAGGAATAATCAAAAGGAAATTGCTAAGAATGTGTGAAGAAAAAAAGCGTCATGGATGTGGTCATACATGGACATTATCTAGATCATATTATCCGATTTCTACAGGGGATTGTTTGTCATTTATTAACCCTGCAAGTTATCATTAAGTCCCGACCTGCTCATATTGGAGGATCAGTTGTTTTTCAGCTCATGTTGTCGGATATGTAGCTCGTACGGTATAAAGTACACTCCAGCACAATGCCCAGTCATGCAGCAATAAAGATTTACACTCGTAGAACACCTTATAAAGAACACTGGTCCGTACAGCGCTGCAGGTCTTGTTTTGCAGCGGTTACCAGAATAGCAGTATTTTATTCTATTTCACACATATTGGCAGCCTCATTGTGGGTCATCTGAAAAGTCTTTGTGATATTGTCTCTGCACACTAGATACATACATGAACTTGTAAGTGCTCCGTAAGTGTGAGAGAGAAGGTTTGCTTTTCAGAAATCCAATTCTTGATTAGACCCTTGCTGCTGAGATTGAGATATGCCAACAGTTTAAAACTATCTGGCGACGCGCTGATGCGGCTCTAATGATAAGCTTCTCTTGAGAAATAGTCACCACACTTTTCACACACAGACAATCCACTCACACTTCCTGTTCGTGTAAATGAGAAACCACTGTCCTCATTACTAAGGAGACAGGAACAAGAAGAAGACGACATTTAATGCTGGGAAACTTTTACGTGTTACTCATGGTGGGGGGCTGACACTTAACATCCCCGTGAAGCAAAATCCTGGAACGTGTTGGCCTTGCTCCAAATCCATGTTACGGGCAAATCCATGTTTTCTACGTGTTAACCAGCACCTGCCTCCCCCTGCTGGGATGAGTAACCTACAGCAGGCAGAGCCTCATACTAAAACTCATGAATTATATTCTTGAAACAATATTCAAGAAGTTTGTCATTTTGTGTGTTTCAGTGCTGATTTTTAAGATGTATACCAGACCTACAGTAAGATTAAGATTAGGATTCACCCTCTGGAACTGTGAATATCTGTCACGTTTTCTATCTCACCATCGGCATATCTTCGAGCCTCTCAAAATTGGATCTCGGCGATCGGATACATTTCACTGTGAGTACCACGAGAACGAGGGCGAGGACGATACAGAAGATGCAAATGATAGCGACTAGGCCGGGGTTTGACGCCAGGTCATCTTTTTCCCAGTCGGGTGAAAAACCTGAGGGGGAGACAAACAGAGAAACGATGAGATAAACAAATGCAATATTTGCTGGACACAGCTGAAATTATACTAAAGTAAGAAGAAATCATATTTGCTTTGCACAAGTCACACCATTGGTTTTATGCCTCATTTATTAATTGACTTAAACAAACAACTGCCCAGGGGAATTTATTTGTCATGACAAATAAATTCCCCTGGGCAGTTGTTTGTCACTTATGGATATAGTTGTTTTTCTCATCACAATGCTTATCCAGTTTATCACAAGCCAGTATTCTTTGTGTTATTGTTCTTTTCAATAGATGCAGCCTTCCAAAAACTTATGATCATGATAACAGAGCTGATCAGAGAAGTCAGGGACCTCCGTGAGAAGTTCAGAGCCTTCCGTTAATCCTGCAGCACTGACCCTGTTCATGCTAGGGTATTGCCTCTGGATTAGCCATTTAACAACATAGACGAAATGAACTGCAATGACCGGAGGCAAATAAAGCAATGGTAAGTTCTTAAAGTTAGCTGATTTCTGCCTTGTGACTTTCATATTAATCAGCCTGGTAGTTTAGATGCTTTCTCCCTGCTGAAGACAATAGACAATAGGTTATTCATATTTAAGCTCTAATTTGGCTTTTTTTTTTCTTCTTTTTGTGTTTGTTTGTGTCCTAGATGGTCTGACTCAGCGGGTGGGGGTAAACGCTGTTTCTGAGTTTGCCTTCGCCCAAGCAGTGCAGAAATGTCTCCGCTACCCTTCAGAAAACATGGGTGGTGCAGGATGCCTGATATCCAGTTTGATCCCCGAGTAAACTAAAAAAAATAAGTGACCTGTATCCAATACATGTAACAAAGAAACTTTTTCAAAAATATAATAAATTACTTTGTAATTGATACAGAAATGTCTGTCATTTTTATTACATAATGCCAGATGCTTCATTTTATAGGGATATTATTATGGACATGACAAATTGTAAGACAACGTCCAGTATTTTATGGGTTTCCTATTTGGGGATCATATACAATTGTCTTTTTTGCAGGTTTAAGTATTGCTGGTAATTTGCAGCGGTTTTTTATTAATACAAATACCTTTTAAGTACTGATTTTTAATCATGACTTTATTGTTTCAATAGTAACCAAGGGTGCAAAAGTGATGGAAAATCAACATCAGAGTTCAACAGTGATTCAATATCAGAATCTGAGATTGTTTCAACATTAACAGTGTTTGAAAATTTGACGTTGAATCAATGTCAGCGTTCAACATTGATTCAATATCAAAACATGACGTTGTTTCAATATTAGAAAAGGGTGCAAAAGTGACATTGGGTCAACGTCAGATTTCAACGTTGATTCAATAGAAGCACCTGATATTGAAACAATGTTTAGTCAATGTCTCCTTGCTATCTGGGTCTTGTCATCAAAATTTCATTGAAACCTGAGAAGAAATCCACCATAACATGCAAATGAATTTAATCTGTGCACGCAAAAGCATTTTGTTTGTTTTAGGTCATAAAGTATGGCACTGCTATGTATAAATTTGTCCATCTGTATTGTTTCTCACTGTCCTTGAACCCCCAAAAGTGCATTAATTTCTTTTAAAATGGCAAAAAAAGAGCGGACTGGATGTTTTTTGACCTGTGTCGGTTGTGTTCACAGTGGTGGTTGCAGTGATGTTTGGTGATGCTGATGCAGATGGGAGCGTTGTTTCAGTTGGCAAAGCTGTCTCATTTGATGTCTGGTTGTTTGCTGTGGTTTGAGGAGGTGGGCTGGGGGTGGTGTCGTCTGTCTGCTGCGTTTTTGGTGAAGCCGAAGTGATGATGGTCGTGGACTGCACTGTCGTTTCAGCTGTAGTTGGATGTGTCGTCGTTTCAGCTGTAGTTGGATGTGTTGTCGTTTCAGCTGTAGTTGGATGTGTTGTCGTTTCAGCTGTAGTTGGATGTGTCGTCGTTTCAGCTGTAGTTGGATGTGTTGTCGTTTCAGCTGTAGTTGGATGTGTTGTCGTTTCAGCTGTGGTTGGATGTGTTGTTCTTTCAGTGGTAGTCTGGAGTATTGTTGTTTGTGAGTATGGTTTGTTAGTGGTTGTTTGTGCAGTGGATGAGCTGGAGGAAGTGGTGGTTTCTGCAGAGCAGCAAACAGCACATAAATATAAGATGCTGCATTCACACCTTATTGAGATAATGATCAAGTGGTTTGTTGGCATCTTAAAGGTGCCAACAAACCACAAAGAAAGTTTTATTTACATTTTTCCATACTTGCACTGGATGTTTTTAATGCATGAGAGCACTAATGCAGACAAGCATGGCTTAATGCTGTGCACTAACCCTAGCCCTTCCTATTGACAGAGCATGGTGTTGTTGTAATCATCAAAAAGTTCTGACACAAAATAATTGCTTTGTATGATTTTTTTCTATAACCAACTTTTAGATCATTGAATATCCCAGAGTTTGAATAGCAAAATACATATCTGATGTCTGACACAGACTAACAGAACGTTGCTGGTACTTAAATTTTTGGTAAACTCTATAATAAGGATATATTTCAGCTGCATTTTACTCAAAATTATTGCTGAAAAATCGTTTTATTGAGTGCAAAATATAGTACAAAAATAAATTCCAGGTGATTCTGAAGTGGTCATGTAGGCTCTTATTTCACATTTGATTCGTTTTAATCAAGTAACCCTACCTTAACCTAAATATAAGCTTTATTATCACAGATTAGAAATTTTGAATGCTACACCTTTAAATTCACTATTCTGGAGTTTTGCCACTATTACTTAAGTCACATGTAATTAACATGATAGTAATGATGCATTACGCAAAGCTCACTTTCATCATGGAACTCTGTAAGTTTCATCTTCTAGTCACCGCCCACACCCACTCACACCACGTTTATCATAAAATCATGTTAAGGAAGCTACGTATGTTAGATTCACATCCCTGAGACAATAACAATCTATATGTGCATCATCTTTGTGGCCTCGGACTGTTTATGAAGACGGTTTTAGATTTCTTTACGGAGCCGTGTGGGATTGAAGTTTGGCAGGTGTTTGAGTGTAGGCACTTTAGGGTTCAGGTTGGGGTCCTCATCAACACTGTAGCTGCTCTACCTGTTACTGTTTTACCCCTAAAATCCGCTTTGTGTACAAAGAAAACACACCGGAAAACCTTCAAACTATGACGAAGCTGAGATTTTAAGTGGTAAATACATGAGCGTTTAGGAGCTTTAAATCACATAACTGTACTTGTACAGTTATGGGATGTGGGCAAAGATCCAGAGGAGCTTAAGGTAAGAATGCTGTGACAACTTTCTGAGGCAAGAAACGACTTTAAACTTGACAAAAGAACAAAAACAAAGTAAATTTCAGAAAACTACGACATGCTGCAAGTGTCTAAAAGCAGATTGTGTTGGCGCATAGCAGTGGGTCAGGTAATATTAAAGCAATTGCAACGTGTGTTCAGTAAAGTGTTTGCCACAGGAGGCTCGACTTCAGCTCACTATCACTGATTAAATATTAGCCCCAGTCTACACCCAGGTGTGAACTTCCCCTTATGTTTTACAGATACACGCTTTACTTATGATGTGAATTTTGTAGTAATGAACAGCAACAGAATGAATACAAATGTGTCTGTGACAACACACGGTTGCTTCTTATTACACTTAAAACAAGAGCCAGTGCCGCGCTGCCACAGGCAAACCGGCCAACTGTCTCTCACTGCACGAAGCTTCCTGTTTGCATAAATTTGCACTTCTACAAGACTTCAGCCTAACGTTCAAACATATAGAACACAAAATTTTGAGAAGTGAAAACTTGTTGAAAAATGCTGACTTACCACTGATGACTGTCGCTGTTAACAGGGACACCAGCAGAGTGAGGTGCACCGTTGCGGGCATGTTGAGAGGGGAAGTGGCTGGCAGTAATATCAGTGACATTCACAGACAAACGCACATGCACACACATGTGGTAACTACATCCTTGACAGCAGGATGTGCTCCAAACACGGGCTGTTGCATATCAAGCATTAAACCCTTCACACTATCAGTCAATATTTAAACAAGGTTGTGTGTGTTTGCTTTTGCTTCTATTCCTGCTGCAGGCAGCTGCAGATTAGTTTTTACTTCTAAAATAGATTTTAAACATGAAAGTTGTCTCATGCTGCCAGCTGCAATGACCTATGCTATCCCAGGTCTTTTACTCTGCACTGTGCAGGCTGCTTATGCTGCAGCACAGAGCTGGACACTTTATTTTTGATGAAACAAGAAAATCATTTTGTCCACTGCACGTTTGACACTTTTGTTGAATCAGGTGCAGTGGAGCTTATTTCTGCCTCGCATGTTATTCTTTTTAAGTTGAGTCTTCAACTTTACTTTCTTTCATTTTTATGCTGTTTTAAGGTTTTTGATATTGTGTACATCACTGAAACTTTATACATACAGACCAGTCGTTGTGTAAATTTGACTTCTTGGCATCCATCCTTCCCCTGAGACCATTTCTGATGAGGCCTCAGTGAACAGTAGCTGAAGGGTCAGGTGTGTCTCTCAGGTCACGTTTCGGGTCTTTTCTGGATGTTTTCATTTTTCAAAACGACGTGACTTTCAGACATCGTTCATCTGCTGTAGATATTCAGTTGTCTCTTTGTTTTTCTTAGGTCACACTGCCATCCAGAGGTTCCCAGCTTAGAGCTCTTTAGGAACCTCCATGCTGGCACAACACAACACGCGGTGTTATCGTTGGCATATTTCAGACTCGGCCAAATAAATGGGAACAAATTATGCATTGTTGTGATGGGCTGCTAGCAACAACATGCCCTGCTAATGTTTCCTCTGAAAATGGTACAGAACAAGGACTGGAGTGAAAATGAGTAAAAAGGCAGTCAATGTCCAAAGGAAACAACTGAAAGAGATCTAGGGAACTATTGCTTAAAGCCACTTTAAAAATCCAAGAAAGTCTGGTTATTGTGAAGGAGAATATTTGAAAATGAGGGGTGGCTCAAGAATTTTGCACAGTATTAAAGAATACATTTATATAAATGTCATTCATATGAGAATAACTGTAACATTGTCCCTAATATCTCCTGTTAAAACACTAACACAGTGATGGTAATAGCCTCCTCCATTATAAGGAGGGCAAATATAACCATATTTACTTTTGGGTTATAAAAATAAGGGGGGGGGGGGGGGGGGGCGCTTTATCCCATTTAATTCTCAATTGCTTCAATATTGATAACATGTTGTAACATAATGTGTCCAAACTAAAGTATATGGATAATTAGGATAGAACCACAAAAGTGCCAAAAGAAAGGTTTTTTTTTTATTTGATTTGAATTTATGTGAAAATAAATTCTTCAGCATTCAGAAATCTTAGACTTCTGATACATGGCTTCTCAGTTCTTTTACACAGGTAGTACACCAATGATGCATTTTATGTGGAGAGCTCTGGGAAAATATTTCATATAATAAATACATTATACGAACGCAGCAGCAGCACCGAAGATGGTGTCGCTCCCCACCCTCACAGTGTTTATGCTAACACCATTTATACTGGTTTTTCTCCCCCCATCATCACATAAACTAAATCATCACTGGACCAGCCAAAGCTAAAAAATAAAAATCATCAATAAATTAAACTGGTAGAAATATACAGTCAGTTTTACAGTAACTAGTGAAAAACTACTGCACAGTTAAAAATTACTTATTTTCAACGGTTATTCTATGTGATATGACAAAATACAAATAGATCCATAATCATGCTTCATTTGACCTCAGAGGGTCAAGTTAAATGGAGTGATTGACATTAAAACAAACGCAGCACTGGATGATATATTAAGGCAATGTTCAAAGACGCGGTTTGCTGCTGAAGCAGTTATGTAGTAGAGCTCTCTCACATCAATATTGATTGGTTTTTTTTTTTAATAAAGCATATTAAAAAAAATAAAGTAAAAGCATTACTAGAATCAGATTTAAAATTTGGGTCCAATGACTTTTGGGACTTTTTAAACCTTCCCCTTAACAGCCGCTCAATTCACTCTGACAGTAAATGCTGTACCTGAGGGCAGTGAAACAGCTTCTCATCCATGCGCACATCATTCACACATAAACAGACACATTTAAACTCTTTGGGAGTTAAGAAGAAGTGTACCAGCACTTTAACTTCAAACTTCCCAGAGACGCATCAGTTTAAATCTGAGTGACCAACACAGGAACACACACTGTTGCATGAACACAACAGTCCGACAGCAGTTCCAAAGGGAGGAAGAGTATAAATGCATAAAAACAGCAACACGTATCATCTCTACTGAGCTTCTTTAAGCCTTCTCCTCCAACGGTTTGGACTGTGGCAGCACTTCCTTCTGTACATCCGCAACGTTGCTGTCTAATGCCAGCTCAGCATGGGGGTCGTCTTTCTGTCAAGACAATACAAATCAGTGGATGCATTGACATGATCAACATCACTTCACTTTTGTACATAAGTGATTAGAAAAGTCAGAGATGCAATGAACCTCATGGGCAGCGCTGGTGAGTAAGAGTCCCAATATACCGTATTAATCCTTTTGAGCTCATACTGAGCCTTTGTAGAGCCCCTCAGTTCACCCACTGTCAGCCTCCTGCTTAAAGCAGCTTTCCTCCGACTGGCTGCCTGTATACTGGAACCTATGGTTCAGCAGGGATGGCGTTGGCAGTACAGGGATGGCCTGTCTATCTGCAGGGAGCTCTGCTGTATGATGGAGGCAGCATACAAAGTATGTGGTGCAACCCATCTGTAGATCATTCCCTCTTGTGCTGTTGTTGGTCAACCAGCCGTGGAGAGAGAGTTCATTTGACATTCAAAGAGCTGAAGTGAAACTGTTACAAACAATGAATAGTGTCCACTGTAGCTGCCTGCGCTTTCCATGCTGCTTTTCTTAATCTTTGAAATTTTCTTCATAGTTCTTCCATTTCTGGTGAACTCCACTGTCACACTCTTCCCTATTTCCGCCCACTTGTCAGTCAATCAGCATAGAGCAGAAACATACCATCTGCTTCCAGTGACACACAGTTTCAGCTCCATTCGCCATCCCAGAGGAAATGTGTATGCAGACAGAACACACACAGCTGGGAGGAGCTGCACACAGCACCGTACAGCTGTTAATTGGTAAAATAAGAGGTAACAAAACCAAAAACTTCCTGTGTGGTTGACTTACTCTGTGTTTGAGGTAAGAGAGGTAGGTGTCCCACCCTAAGGTGACAAAGTTGATGTACACGACGCGGAACTTGGGCGAGAGAAAGTAGAAGTTGATCATCTGAGCAGCGGGCCAAACACAGCAGTCTACCTGTCAGCAAGAACAACACACATAAGATAAACAAGCAGGTACTAATTACTCAGAGAAACAGACAAGAGGGGGGAAGTGTGCTCCGTCTGCTCAGCAGGTTACCAGCTGAGACTGGGAGGTTTTATCTGCTCTGCTGGGTTGGGTTTTTTTTTTTTTTTAACCTTCTGAGTAACAACAACAACCTCAAGATTTAAGACAGAAGAGCACAGAGCTAAATTACTACATGTAACTTATAGTCGTAACTCGTAAAGTTCCTCTGTTTGCCGTGTAGAGCACAGTTATATTTTATATTACTTAATGTTCAGCTACAGTTTAAACGCTAAATTCTCATCTTCTGTTAAAGACAAAGAAGAATTTCAGTTGGGATGAATGAAGAACAATTAATGTTCAACCTCCAGGTTTACTTACCTTGTAAAATTCCCAGAACTTGCCTCTAAACTCTGCCCATCCTTCGGATAAACTGCGCCCCTCCATGAGATCCATACCTGTGATAAACAGTTTTCTGTCAGACATGCGTCACCGCCACACTTTATTAAAACCACCCTCAGATAAGCGCTCTTATAAACATGAACTGCTAAATTTGAGCCTACTCGAAACAGATACCCTTTGAACCCCATATATGTCTTATACGCGGGGGTTTTCCTTACCCACATCTTTATGCGCAACCTTTGCCTCTGTACATGATCTCTCAAGTGTGCGCGTCACTGACAAACTGTTCATGTGCTCACACCCTGAACAACGTGTGAGAAGCAGGACTTAGTACCAGTAAAATCCTTCTCACCTAAAAAATACCACACGCCCAGGGTCGGGGAAGCAACCAGCTGGTCCACCACAACCTTCTTGACCAAGGTTTTGAGAGCTTTGCCCGCGTACACTCTGTCCAGCCAGATGTACCAGTAGTGCAGGAGAGGACCCATGGAGCAGCCCACGGCAAACATGCGAGCTTTGAAGCCAAACAGAGAACAGCCGTGCATGAAATAAATCATGATAGCCCAACATGAGATTATTACAAAATAGTAGGAGTTCCTTTTTATTTTGTAAGAATTGTTTTTTAAAAAGTGTTTAAGCATAATCCTGTTGGCAGAATCTTTACTGCTGACAACTACATTTGTTTTTGCATATGTTCTTTGGCATGCTCTCCTCTGTATCCCCAAATCAAATGATAATTCTAACAACAATGCAGATGCTTTTGTCCAAAATTACTTGAGTTCATTATATTTTTATTTTAGAAACTGTACAGATCTGGAGCTCTCCTGCATATCAGCCAAAATAAGAAAATGGTGTATGACATTAAATGCATAAAACTCTGTGTCACCTGTTCGGCTCCAGTCTCTGATTTTGCCAGGATCCCTGTGTTTCTCCCGAGTCTGCTGTAGGATGTCTCCCAGAGACAGCATCACCCCTCCACTCATGATATTGGTGACCAGCAGGTAGCGGCCTTGGAAGAACGGCCTCCAGGAGAACCGTATCCGGACCAGAAACTCTTTACCCGCACGGGGAAGCATGATGTTCAGACAGGAGAAAGTACAGTCATCTGTGGAGAAGAAGGAAAAAGATAAACATTTAGGGTTCATGCACGGAAAGCCAGCGGATAGGTAGATTCATTGTACTA